CTTCATTCTACCAAGAATTAACCCAAACTCACAGCGATTAAACGTTCTCAAAGATTGGACAGCACTTCCCCTTAAATTCCTTATTTTCCATCCTACAAGACATTACAAATCACATCTCAACTCAATCACAATAAAGCCCCAAAGTCATACAAGTACGAAATCAAACTAGGAAAATGTCCGGAAATGAAGTTTAAGTTATAAACCAAAAGACAGATTTGCCGTCGCTTAGCGTAACGCCCAACAACCAAAGCTACACTTATCGGATTGGGGTGAAATTTATACCGTTTCGAAGCTAAGACAAAGGCCTACAACTTTGATGAAGACAAACTCAGTCCAGTTTGTAATGTATCTAAGTCAAAAGTCCGGATTACAGAACCAAAATCTCACATTCGGGCTAGTTAACCACATTATGCGTAAACAACCATAACTCAGGCTACCGAAGTCCAAATGAGGTGATTCCAGGGGCGTTGGAAATCTAAGATACAAGGCTATAAGTCTTAAGAAGACAATGACAACCAAATCAGTAGTATTCCTGGTCGAAACAACCAATTACAGAAGCTGATTAGCATGTTCGGATAGAAACAGGGCAGCAGGGGTATTTCAGTCTTTTCACAGGCTACGTTGCTCCGATTGAGCTGAAATTTTGTAGGCAACTATAAAATCATTCTATACAACTTTTATGTTTTGTACTAAGGCTGATTCTGTCTCTAACATACTCGAACAAAAACGGGCAGAGCAGGGTCATATGGAAACCCTAATCTGGAATTTATGCATCCAAGCTGGAAATTTCTTTAGGCAAAACAAACTAACACATAAACACTAGATATTTCACATATCAAAGCTAGTGAATCATGGTCAACCTTTAAGCTTCATATATGGGCAGAAAATTCACCAATAAAACTGAAAATTTCCATATCACTTCTTCCAACCATGAAATATTGCATAATACTACCAAAATTGCAACTATAAGCCACTAATTTACAATTATTGGAAGTAGAGAGAGAGTTTCTTGCCATATGCACCTCTTTACCTCTAAACCCAAAGGTGACAAGCAAATCAAGAGGGATGAAAGATTTTCTTCTTCTAAAACTTCACCAAAAGCTTCTCTCAAAGCTTACCTCAAGATTGATCGCTGTAGATTAGGATTTTTCGTTGGATTCTTCATGATTTAAGCAAGAGATCAAGGCTGAATGTTTTTGTGTTTTCTCTCCCTTTTCTCTCTCAAAATTTCATCCATCATACTTACAAGAAGAAGAAATGATGAAAGCAAAAGGTTTGGTCAAGATAAGAAGAAGAAATCATGGTCTTGGTCAAAGGTCCAACTTGCAATGGTTTCAAGCCACTTGGCTTTCTAGAATGTCCTCCAAACTCCTAATCTTCTAACACTAATCCACCTAGCTAATCCCTAATTATCACTAATCACCTTATAAAATAACATCCTTTTATACAAAACTTCAATTAATCGCCAAAATTGTACCCGACTAACCACAGTAGCGGGCCCCACGTCCTTAATACTCTTTAAACTTAACGTGGACTAACTTGTATCAAGGAAATGATTTCAAAACTATATTCCTTTATAAAAATGTATAGAAAATTAATATATTAAAGAAAGGTACAAAATTATAGACAAGGAAACAAAATAATGTCTAGAAAATATTTAAAAATTTTCGGGTTCTCACACTCATTCTTTCGGGGCATCACAAGCCAGACCCAATCTCCAGGCTCAAAAATCATCTTACGACGGTGCTTGTTAGCTTGTTGGATGTATTGCTGAGTATGCCTCTCGATGTTTGCCCGAATGGCCTCGTGTAACCTGCGCACAAAATCAGCCTTTTCTTTTTCCCATCTAAGCTTGTGTGCTCAGAGGAAGATAAGGGTGCCAAGTCAAGGGGAATCAGGGGGTTAAAACCATACACAATCTCAAAGGGTGAGTAGTGTGTTGCACTATAAACAGTGCCATTGTAAACAAATTCCACATGCGGCAAACACTCTTCCCAGGATTTGAGATTCATTTTAATCAAAGCCCTGAGCAATGTGCCAAGTGTGTGATTGACAATCTCAGTTTGTCTATCGCTTTGTGGATGACTTGTGGTTGAGAACAATAATCTAGTACCCAGCTTGGACCACAGAGTCTTCCAGAAATAACTCAAAAACTTTACATCTCTATCACTAACAATGGTTTGAGGCATACCATGCAGACGGACAATTTCTTTAAAGAATAAATTAGCAATATGAGATGCATCATCGGTTTTGTGACAAGGGATGAAATGAGCCATCTTAGAGAATCGATCAACCACTACAAAGATAGAATCATTACTCCTTGGTGATCTAGGTAGTCCCAAGACAAAATCCATTGACAAGTTTACCCAAGGATAATGAGGGATGGGCAGCGGGATATACAAGCCATATGGGTTTGTTTTAGACTTTGTCATGTGATAGGTGGCACATCTACCATCTGAGGCCAGTAAAAGTGTTCTTGTAACATGGCTAGAGTCTTAACAATTTCAAAATGTCCCATGAGACCACCACTGTGTGCCTCTCTAATCAAAAGATCACAAATGGAAGAATTAGACACACATAGCTTATCCACATAAAACAAAAACTCATTATGCAAGAAGTACTTCCCATGTGGACTCTTCATACAAGATGTATAAATATCACTGAAGTCAGTGTCATGAGCATATAGGTCCTTAAGCATTTCAAATCCTAACAACTTAGTATCAAGCACAGTGAGCAAAGAATGTCTACATGATAGAGCATCAGTTACCATATTCGTTTTGCCCGTTTTGTACTTAATGACATAAGAGAAGGTGTCGATGAAACTTACCTATTTGGCATGGTACTTGCTCAACTTGGGGTGGCCCTTGAGAAATTTCAAGGATTCATGATCAGTGTGTATCACGAACTCCCTTGGGAGGAGGTAGTGTTGTCACTAGGCCTGCACGCGACTCGAGCTACTCGCGAGCTGCTCGCGAGCAGCTCGAGTCAAAGCTCGGCTCGAGCTCGTGTTGACCGAGCTCGAGCCGAGCTCGAGCCGTTCGTGAAGACAAACGAGGCGAGCTCGAGCCTTCGTTTCTTTGGCTCGATAGCTCGACGAGCCGCTCGTTAGGCTCGAATCAGTGTGAAATTACAAATATACCCCTGAATCAATTAAAATTTACAACTTCCTCTATTAGGTTAGATTACCTAATTTTGTTTCTTCACTTCCTTCGATCGATCTTCTTCCTCAGGCTCCGCCGACCGACTGTCCCACTGCCAAACTCCTAATTCGTACTTCCGCTACCGCCATCTCTGCTAGCTCCACCTCCACCACTTCCTCCGACTCCTCAGCAACCTCCAAGCTTTCTCTGCTGACTGTCCTCAGTTCCAACTCTGTCGCAAGTGCAGCTCCAATGAGCGGGGGCACCCGGGTCCCTTACCTGAGAATCGAAAACACCAGATTCATGCCAGTATGCACGGAGCCAGAAAGGCAACCCTCTTGAAACCATGGGAAGTCCCAAACTCCCAATTCCCCGCAACTGCCATATCTGCTTCTACTAGCTCCATCTCCAGTTTCTCCACCGCTTCCACCAGCTCCACATAGGCAACCCAACCAGCTTTTCCGAACCTAACCACTTCAACGAGGCTGACTGACGTCCGAACCCAACCAGCTTCTCGGTGAATTCCTATCTCCGGATTTTGTCTAAGCTTTTCCAGCGGAGCAGGTGCGCAACCCACTGAGCTTTTCCTAGATTTTTGCAGGTATGTACTCAGCTTCTTTTTCTTTCTACTTAATGTGCCGTTTAATTCAACAATTTGTATAATGAAAATTCTATTAATCTGGATTATAGATTTGTTGAATTAAGTATCTATATATAATAATAGAGTTGCTAAGTGTAGATTTCCTTTTATCTCTTGTAAATTGGTTCACTATCTTGTTTGAAGCTTTTGAGTTGAAGAATTAAAAAGAATGCAACACTTACACAGTGAAACATTGATAAAAAGGTCCTTGTGGTTCAGTGCACTTCTAGAGGGAAACAATAAAAAAATTGGATTTTTCTCAAATATTTGGTTTTCAATTGAGTGCTTATCTTTGTTATAAAGAATGTTTAACGTGTTACATTTCCAATTTCTTGCTAAGCCAATGAAGTCATGATATCCTGCACGATTCAGTCTCGAATGATTCAACTAATTTTTAGATGGTCTCAATGCTATCAATTTTCAATAAATGTGCAACATTAATTCTTACGGCTTCAGAATGATATGAAATGTATCAGTACAGGAATTAAGTCCTTGCTCTTTTTAAAAGGATAGTGGATTTTGCATTAAGATTATCTTTCTTTTATTGCATGTACCATCCAACAATTATTTAAATGAGATAAGTTAGATGAAGCAAAGGAATTGCGGAAGGTTGTCATTAAAATCCTTAGTTGATAATCATATCTCCCATTCCACTGGATGTTCTTGTTCCTTTAATTTCACACAGTTTTTTGATTATGAGTGAATACATAACATGAGGTCATTTGCAATCTATATCATTAAAGTTAATATCTAATCCAGCAATATTGACGCTTGAATTACTTAAATATAGTTTCAACCTTCTATAGCCTTCAAGGGCTCTTGATGATCTAACTCAATTATAGTATATTAATGTCAAGACTCTCTAATGGCTTTGGCTTCATGACATTGATGATTCATTTTCATACTCCTATTCGGTACAAAACAGTGAGGACAAAAAAGAATGTGTTATTCTTTTTGTTCAATCTCATAATTAAATCTCTTTGCTTATTTTTCATTTGCTATCTTCTTTTGATGGATCCACTGTTCCCATTGGTCTTGATGACTTCTCTTAGATGTGTGTGTCACCCCAAATTAAAGTAAAAAAGAAGATGGACTTTCTTGAAAATAATTACTGCTACTAACTTGTTTCCTAGTAATAGTAATCTGTTTTGGGACTAAAGAATGCTGCTTATGGCTTTTTTTTTCCTTTTGGTATAGTTAAAAGAAATTGAGAATATAAAATGGATACGTCCAACCAAGAGCAATATTCACCAATTATTAGATCAGTTGGTGATTCCGCTAGTCCAGTGAATATCATTGACAAGGGTGTTGCTGTTAACATTGACGAAGAGCTGGAATTCTCTCTTGGTGATGAAGAATTAGGGAGTGAAGATGAAGCATTAGAAGGTGATACACATGCAACCACTCAAACAATTGTAGAAGAAGCTGCTGCGGATGATGGCTTGGATGCTTTTCGAAAAAAAAAGAGGCAGAAAAAATCAGTAGCATGGGATGACTTTAAAGATGTTGAAGTTGGCCATCAAAAAACTCTCATGTCTGAGTGTATTCATTGCCATGCAAAGTTCAAGAAGACGAAAACTAGTACAACTTCAAGTTTGCTAAGGCATAGGAAGTCATGTGCTATCCGATTGCAAAAATTAAAAAAAGCAACACAACAAACAAAGATCAATTTCCCACCTGCTGATTCTGCCGAAGCTTCTCAAACCTACCTTCACTCCGGGACGTTTGATATGGCAGCCATGAGAGAGGCTACTGCTGAATGGGTGCTTATGCATGAGCATCCATTTTCAATTGTGGAGGAAGAAGGCTTCAATTTGATGCAAAAAAGAGGGATGCCCGAATGGCAAAGAATCAATCGGACTATGAACAAAAATGATTGCACATCAGTTTATGAAAGAGAGAAGACAAAATTGAAGAATCAATTAAAGAAAGTCAAGAAAATCAGCTTGACTACAGATCTTTGGAAGTCCAAGAACCAAAAAAATGAGTATATGGTCGTAACCGGGCATTGGATTGATAGTAACTGGAGATTGCAGAAACGGGTTCTCAACTTTGTGCACGTCCCTCCTCCACGTCGGGGCATCCAAATTGCGGATGCTATTTTCAAATGTTTAACGGATTGGGGAATTGAGAGTAAGATTTATACAATCTCAGTCGATAATGCCTCAAATAATGACAGTGCACTGAGATGTTTGAAGGACACTTTCTCCAGAAACAAGTGTCTATTAGCAAAAGGAAAGTTATTTCATGTGAGATGTTGTGCTCATATACTGAATTTGATGGTTCAAGACGGACTTAGTCGGATCAAGGAAATAGTTGACACAATCAGGGACAGTGTGGAGTTTATCAATAAGACAGATGGAAGACGCTTGCAATTTGCTGAAATTGTACGCCAGCTGCAGTTGCCAGAAAAAATGCTAATTTATGACTGCAAAACAAGGTGAAATTCTACTTATGAGATGCTGACTTGTGCACTGAAGTTTCAAGATGTTTTTCCAAGATACAGAGATAGAGAGCCAAATTATGATTTCTGTCCAACCACAGAAGATTGGGAAAAGGTTTCAAAAGTGTGCAATATTTTAAAAACTTTTTGGACAGCAACTCATGTGATATCTGGTAGTGATTATCCGACAGCAAATTTATATCTAAATGAAGTTTGTCGGATAAAAGTGCTACTAGATAGTAAGGTTGATGATGATGATGATTTTGTCCGGTCAATGGTGCAAAAGATGAAGCTGAAATTTGATAAGTACTGGGGAGAATGTAACTTATTAATGTCTATAGCAGCTATTTTGGATCCCAGATGCAAGATGAGGGTCATAAACTATTGTTTTCCATTACTTTATCCTCCACATGAAGTGCAAAGCAATATAGGCAAGGTTCGACAAGCCTTGTATGACCTATATGATGAATATGTGGAGATACATGTTTCAGGCCAAAGTGGATCATCTTCTCAACTACTAATCGGCAGTGATCACCCAACCAAGAGCAGTAGTAGTGCATCTTCATCAGTGTCCCATGTTTCGGGTATGAGTGAATTTCTGACCCATATTGCTACCGTTGAGAGTGTTCAACCCGTCAAGAATGAGTTGGATACCTACTTTGAAGATGGTCTCCTCACAGCTGCAGATGATTCAACGATAGACATCGTGAATTTGGATGCCTTGAAGTGGTGGAAAGACACGACAAAATACAAGATTCTTCCCAAGATGGCTGCTGATATTTTAGCCATTCCAATAAGCACTGTAGCTTCAGAAGCTACATTTAGTGCTGGAACCAGAGTAATCGACTCTTACCGTGCTTCCTTGGCTCCAGAAACTGTAGAAATGTTAATGTGTGCTGGAGATTGGTGTCGTAAGCTACACGGGGTGAAGAAAAAGGAAAAGGTAACAAAAAAAAATTATCACACATAATATTTAAATTCGGCCTTACTATTTCTTAATTTCTTTTATTTTATTTTTTTGTTTTTCCAGAAATTGAAGGATAGACAAGAGATTGTGTTGCCTATTTCTTGACTTCGGAGATGTTTGAGGTAATTTACCTTTAATTTCCTATTTAGAGTTTTGTCCAATTCTAACTCATGGTATTAAGATCACAGAGGTTAGTGCAGAATTGCAGATGGTTATAGAACGCTGGTGGAGTGCAATCATATATGCGATGGTTATGTGTTGTGTTGAGTTTGTTCCAGTAGGAAATTAAGGCAGTAGGGGACATCTTGCGCCTAATGCAAGGAGCAATATATTGTTTTCTATTGCTTTTTTTGTCTTTTTTTTAACAGCATGTGCAATTGCATGGGAAATTGGTGCCCTTTCGATTACATGGAAGAAACTTTGCTATTCTATTGATCTGTTTTACCATTCTTGCGCAATGCAGCAGGCTAACAATGACTACGATCATGTAGATGAACAAACATCTTATGATGTAGGCACCCTTGTGCTCCTGTTAACTTATGGTTTCTTTAAGGATTCGAAGATTTGATATTCTTTTCATATAGATGAATAATGTCAATAATGATAGTTGCGTGATTTCCTTGCACTAATAAGTTGATTTCTTTCACATGTTTATGAAATTTAATGATGCAAATGGTTTATATCATCTTGGAAATTGTTATACTTTTTGCATCTCACATTTGATCTTCTTTTGTCATGTATTTCATTTGCGTCATCTATAACTCATTGGGTATGAGTTCTCTATTATTAGTATATCTCCATTTCATTAGTTATCACGCATGAGTTCTCTGTGCATTGCTGGTTATCACGCATTTCATTTCTTTGATTGATGGTTTCATTCGTATTTGGCATTTGCATTTTTGCCAAATCGTTTTTCTTATGATTCTTTTAACCTTTAGGAATTTTCTGGAGTTGGAGTTGGTGGACTAATTCTCGCTTCATGTCATGCCTTGGTTCTTGTGGACAACAAGCTACTTTAATTTGTATTAGTGGATATTTGTGGAAATTTGGATAATTTGTATTAGTGGACATCTGGATATTTTTGGATGATTTGTATTAGTGGACATTTGGACATTTATGATTGTATTAGTGCATAATTTGTAGGCCTCAAGATCAAGAATATGTGAAAACTTGTTGTTATCATGCTAAATTTTGTCAAAAATATGCGGACAAAATTGCTGTTTTCTTGCTTAAATTTGCAGAAATTTTCGAGCTGTTTTCGAGTTCGAACTCGAGCTCCTAACGAGCTAGAAATCGAGCTGACTTCGAGCTATTCGCGAGCCAGAAAATCGAGCGGAATTCGAGCTATTCGCGAGCCAGAATTCGAGCTAGGCTCGCGAGCTATAAACGAGTCGAACTCGAGTTTTCTTTTCCTACATCGAGCCGAGCTCGAGCTTTATTTTTCGAGCTCGACGAGCTCGAGCTCGAACTCGAGCTCGCGTATAAATAAGTGTAGCTCGACTCGATAAATTCAAAACTCGATTCGGCTCGGCTCGTTTGCACCCCTAGTTGTCACGTCTCCAATGCTCTTACAAGTGCATAGAGCTCTTTGTCGTATGTGGGGTAGATCAGGGTAGCACCTCCCACCTTCTCACTAAAGAATGCACAGGGCCTCTTGTCTTGCATGAGAACGGTGCCAATACCTACACCAGAAGCATCACATTCAATTTCTAAGGTCTTGTTAAAATTTGGTAATGCTAAAATCGGTGCATGTGTGAGTTTGTCCTTGAGATGAAGGCTTGTTCTTGAGCTTCTCCCCAATGGAATTTATCGTTCTTCTTTGTCACGGCGGTCAATGGTGCAGCGATGGTGCTAAAATCTTTGACAAATCGCCGGTAGAAACCCGCCAATCCATGGAAACTCCGTAGCTCAGGGACGGATTTGGGTGTGGGCCATTGCCTAATGGCCTCGATCTTGGACTCATCCACTTTGATGCCCTGCGAACTCACAGCATAGCCTAAAAACACGAGCTCATTAGTACAAATGTGTACTTCTTAAGGTTGCCATATAGACGGGCCTTTCAAAGTGTCTCAAGAGCTAGCTTCAAATGCTCCATGTTCTCATGTTCGCTTCAACTATATATCAATATATCATCAAAGTATACAATAACAAACTTACCAATGAACTACCTCAAGACATGGTTCATTAACCTCATGAAGGTGCTAGAGGCATTAGTCAACCCAAAAGGCATGACTAGCCACTCATAGAGACCATGCTTGGTTTTAAAGGCCGTCTTCCATTCATCGCCTTCTTTCATCCTTATTTGATGATAGCCATTCCTTAGATCAATTTTAGTAAATATGATAGCACCATCAAGTTCATCAAGCATATCATCTAATCTAAGGATGGAATGGCGGTATTAACAGTAATTACGCTAACGGCTTTACAGTCAGTGCACATATGCCAAATACCATCCTTTTGGGGACAAGTATCATAGGCATAGCACGGGGGCTTAGATTCTCTTTTACCCAACCCTTACCTAGTAGGCTATCAACTTGTCTCCTCAGGGCCCATGCGGTAAACAGGTTTGTTAGGTAGTAGTGCTCCAGAAATTAGATCAATTTGGTGCTCAATCCCTCGAATAAGTGGTAAACCATCAGGGACTTCATCAGGGAAGACGTTCTCAAATTCCTGCAAAAGAGCAGCTATACTCGAAGGCAATGCCTTATCGAGCTCAGCAACATTTAAAAGCACATGTTTGTAAATCATGAGAAGTACAGGCTGATCAGAGTTTACAAGCTTTCTAACATCCTTAACCTTAATGATCATGTTTTGCTTCCTAGTGGTCGGTTGAGTCAATGTATGTTCACGTGGTACACTAGGTGTGCTCACTTGACCCTTGGTGGGTTGCTCACTTGTGGAAGTGGAGCAAGTGACAGGGTCGACTGTCCTTTGCTTTTGCTTTTGACGGTCTAAGTCATACTCCCTTTGCAATTTTAATTGGTCCTCATAAACTTGTGCAGGTGTGAGGACCTTACGTTTGTCATTGTGCAAAAGTGTGTACTTATTTGCCCTTCCATCGAATGTGACGTGTTTGTCAAATTGCCAAGGTCTCCCTAAGATGACATGTGTAGCATGCATAGGCACTACATCACACACAACTTCATCAACGTAAGTACCAATTGAAAAAGGAACGCGTACCTTTTTGAAGACAAGTATCTCTCCATCCTCATTTAGTCATTGGAGATGGTAGGGGTGTGAATGTCTAGTAGTTGGGAGCCCTAAACTCTCAACCATGTGCAAGCTCGCCACATTTGTGCAACTTCCCCCATCAATGATGAGACTACATACCTTGTCATCTACTTTACAGTGAGTGTAAAATAAGTTCTCTCGTTGCAACTGCTCATCCTCCTTGACTCGGGCGGTTAGCACTCGTCGTGCCACCAAGCAACCTACTTCTCCTTGTGTAGGAGAGCAATCTTCCTCAGCCGAGTCTTCCTCCAGGCAGTCACCTTTGATCAATCCAGGCATCTCCTCACAATCATCATCATCGGACACGATCTCGCCATTATGAGTGATTAACATGACCCATTGGTTTGGACATTGAGACTGAATATGTCCAAACCCTGGCACTTGAAGCACTTAATGTCCCTACTCCTAGTCTTAGGAGTCTCAAGTGGTGCCTTAGAAGCAGACCTGGATGCATCATCAGCTTTGTTAGGGGTAAAATTGGTATTGCGGTTGGAGGCATTACCTTGAATTCGGCTTGAAGGAGTTGGTATAGCCGAATTTCTAGCTTCGTGGGGTGTTTTCCGTGATAGGTTTCCCTTCCAGGAAGGCAAGTTGGAAGTCTGGAAGGTACGGGTTCCACGCCTCAACTTTTTTCCCCTCTCAGCCTTGATAGCTAGTTCAAGAAGGTCATGGATGTCCAAATAATGTTGGAGCTCCAAGGCTTCTTGAAGGTCAGCATTGAGACCTCTAAGAAACCTGGCCATGGTCGCTTCACCATCTTCTTGAATGTTTGCCCTCATCATGGCCATTTCAATCTCCTAGTA